CCCTGGGATTTGGGGTGCAGGGATCCCGTTACCCTGGGATTTGGGGTGCAGGGATCCCGTTACCCTGGGATTTGGGGTGCAGGGATCCCGTTACCCTGGGATTGGGGGTGCAGGGATCCCGTTACCCTGGGATTGGGGGTGCAGGGATCCCGTTACCCTGGGATTGGGGGTGCAGGGATCCCGTTACACCGGGATTTGGGGTGCAGGGATCCCGTTACACCGGGATTTGGGGTGCAGGGATCCCGTTACCCTGGGATTTGGGGTGCAGGGATCCCGTTACCCTGGGATTTGGGGTGCAGGGATCCCGTTACACCGGGATTTGGGGTGCAGGGATCCCGTTACCCTGGGATTTGGGGTGCAGGGATCCCGTTACCCTGGGATTTGGGGTGCAGGGATCCCGTTACACCGGGATTTGGGGTGCAGGGATCCCGTTACCCTGGGATTTGGGGTGCAGGGATCCCGTTACCCTGGGATTTGGGGTGCAGGGATCCCGTTACACTGAGATTTGGGGTGCAGGGATCCCGTTACACCGGGATTTGGGGTGTGCTGGGATTTGCAGTCTGCTGGAATTTGGGGTGAGGGTGTCCCATTGCACCGGGATTTGGGGTGCTGGGGGATTTGGGGTGTGCTGGGATTTGGGGTGCAGGGATTCCCTTGCACTGGAGTTTGGGGTGCTCCAGGATTTGGGGTGCTGAGGGTCCTGTTCTATTGGGGTTTGGGGTGCTCCAGGATTTGGGGTTCTCCAGGATTTGGGGTGCTGGGATCCTGCTGTAGCAGGATTTGGGGTGCTGGGGGTCCTCTTGTATTGAGTTTTGGGGTCCTCCAGGGTTTGGGGTGCAGGATGATTTAGGATGCTCCAGGATTGGCGTGCAGGATTTGGGGTGCAGCAGGATTTGGGGTGCAGCAGAATTTGGGGTGCTGGGATCCTGTTGTATTGAGTTTTGGGATGCTCCAGGGTTTGGGGTGCAGGATGATTTAGGATGCTCCAGGATTGGGGTGCAGGATTTGGGGTGCTCCAGGATTTGGGGTGCTCCAGAATTTGGGGTGCTGGGATCCTGTTGTATTGAGTTTTGGGGTGCTCCAGGGTTTGGGGTGCTCCAGGATTTGGGGTGCTGGGGGTCCTGTTGTATTGAGTTTTGGGATGCTCCAGGATTGGTGGTGCAGGATTTGGGGTGCTCCAGGATTTGGCGTGTCACACCTGTGTGTGCCTGTGTCACACCTGAGTGTCAGCGCGTGTCATACCTGTAGGTGTGTCGCACCTGTGGGGCTCACACCTGTGTCACACGTGTCATACCTGCCACACACCTGTGGGGACTCACTCCTGTGTCACACGTGTCACACCTGAGTGTCAGCGCGTGTCATACCTGTAGGTGTGTCACACCTGTGTCACACATGTCACCCACTGGTGGGGCTCACACCGCTTGTGTCACACGTGTTGTGCACACCTGTGTCACAGCTGTCACAGCGTTCTGGGGTGGTGACAGTCACACCTGTCTGTGCCCAGCCCGGTGTACGGGGGGTGTGACAGTCGGGTGTGACACACCTGTCCTTGTCCCCAGCCTGGTGTACGGGGGCTCGCGGGGGTCGCACCCGGACCCCGACCTGCTGCACCGGCAGCCCTACGGAGCCCCGCACCCGCTGCAGGGCTATGCGGCCAACCACCACCCGCCAGGTACGCGCCGCTGCCACCTGTCTGTCACCTGTCACCTGTCTGTCATTGCTGTCTGTCACCTGCTCCGCTGCCACCTCTGTCTGTCATCTCTGTCACCTCTGTCTGGCACTGCTGCCACTGCTGTCACCTTCTGTCACCCACTGTTACCACTGGCACCTCTGGCACCTCTCTGTCACCTCTGCCACCTGCTGTCACCCACTGTTACCGCTGTCTGTCACCTCTGTCACCTGCTATCACCTGTGTCACCTTCTGTCACCTGCTGTCATCTTTGTCACCTACTGTTACCCATTGTCACCTACTGTTACCCATTGTCACCTACTGTCACCCACTGTCATCTGCTGTCACCCACTGTCACCGTCACCCGCTGTCATCCACTGTCATCTCATATCACCGACTGTCACCTTCTGTCACCCACTGTCACCCACTGTCACCCACTATTATCTTCCGTCACCTGCTGTCAGTTCTGTCACCTACTGTTACCCACTGTCACCTTCTGTCACTCATTATCACCTTTTGTTACCTACTGTCACACACCATCACCTCTGTCACCTTTGATAAATACTGTCACACACTGTCACACACTGTCACACAGCCATGTCTGTCGCCTCTGTCATTTACTGTCACCTACTGTCGCCTTTGTCACCTACTGTCACCCACTGTGTCACCTTCTGTCACCTACTGTCACCCTCTGTTACCTCCTGTCCCCTTCTGTCACCTCTATCACCTTCTGGAATTTTCTGTCACTTGTTGTCATTTTCTGTCACCTTTATCACCTTCTGTCACCTTTATCACCTTCTGGAATTTTCTGTCACTTGTTGTCATTTTCTGTCACCTTTATCACCTTCTGTCACCTTTATCACCTTCTGGAATTTTCTGTCACTTGTTGTCATTTTTTGTCACCTTTATCACCTCCTGTAAGTTTCTGTCACTTATTGTCATTTTCTGTCACCTTTGTCACCTTCTCTCACCTGCTGCCACTCCCTGTCACCTTCTGTCACTTTTATCAGCATCTGTTATCTCCGTGACCTGCTGTCCCCTCTGTTACGTAACGTCACCTTTGTCACCTACTGTCATCTCTATCACCTTCTGTAATTTTCTGTCACTTATTGTCGTTTTCTGTCACCTTTGTCACCTTCTGTCACCTGCTGTCACCCCCTGTCACCCACAGACGCCTTGTGTCACCCTGACCCCCAGCGCCAGGTCTCTGTGTCACCTTGTCACTGCGATGTCCCCGCGCTGTGTCACCCTGGGACCTTTGTCCCCCCACATTCCCTTCTCTTTTCTTCCCTCCTGTTTCTTCATCTTTTCTCCCCTCGCATTTCCCGCTCTTTTTCCCCTCGTTTCCCACCTTTTTTCCCTTTCTGCTCCATACCTTTTCTTGCTCTCATTTCCTGTGCTTTTTGCTCAAGTTTATTGTCCTTTTTGCCTTGTTTCCTGCCCTTTTTCTCCCCTCGTGTTTCTCACCCTTTTTTCCCCCCACATTTCCCACCATTTTCCCCCTCACATTTCCCACCAATTCTTCCTTCATGCCATTTTTCCCCCTCACATTTCCCCCCTTTTCCCCTCACGTTTCCCTCCCTTTTCCCCCTCACATTTCCCACCCTTTTCTCCTATTTCTTGCCTTTTTTCCTCCCTCACGTTTTCCCGCCCTTTTCCCCCTCACGTTTCTCGCCCTTTTCCCCCTCACGTTTTCCGCCCTTTTCCCCCTCACATTTCCCTCCCTTTTTCCCCTCACATTTCCCACATTTTTTGCCCTCACATTTCCTCCCTTTTCCCCCTCACATTTCTCCAATTTTCCCCTCACATTTCCCTCCCTTTTCCCCCTCACATTTCCCACATTTTTGCCCTCACATTTCCTCCCTTTTCCCCCTCACATTTCTCCAATTTTCCCCTCACATTTCCCTCCCTTTTCCCCTCACATTTCCCCCCTTTTCCCCCTCACATTTCCCACATTTTTTGGCCTCATATTCCCCACCAATTCTTCCTTCATGCCATTTTTTCCCCCTCACATTTCCCCCATTTTCCCCTCACGTTTCCCTCCCTTTTCCCCCTCACATTTTCCGCCCTTTTTCCCCTCACATTTCCCTCCCCTTTTTCCCCCTCACATTTCCCTCCCTTTTTCCCTCATGTTTCCCTCCCTTTTCCCCCTCACATTTCCCCCATTTCCCCTTCACATTTCCCCCCTTTTCCCCTCACATTTCCCGCATTTTTCCCCTCACATTTCCCGCATTTTTCCCCTCACATTTCCCACATTTCTTGCTCTCACATTTCCCACCCTTTTTCCCCTCATATTTCCTGCATTTTTTCCCCTCACATTTCCCACCATTTTCCCCTCCCCCCTTTTCCCCCTCACGTTTCCCTCCCTTTTCCCCTCACATTTCCCCCATTTTTTGCCTCCCATTTCCCACCAATTCTTCCTTCATGCCATTTTCCCCCTCACATTTCCCCCCTTTTTCCCTCACATTTCCCACCATTTTTCCTCTTCTGTTTTGTACCTTTTTTCCTGTGATTTCCCGTCCTTTTTGCTGAAGTTTACTGTCTTTTCTGCCTTCCATTTCCTGTTCTTTTTTCCCCTCACATTTCCCCCCTTTTCCCCTCACATTTCCCTCCCTTTTTCCTCTCACATTTTCCACCCTTTTTCCTGTCACATTTCCCACATTTTTTGGCCTTATATTCCCCACCAATTCTTCCTTCATGCCATTTTTCCCCCTCACATTTCCCCCCTTTTCCCCTCACGTTTCCCTCCCTTTTCCCCCTCACATTTTCCGCCCTTTTTCCCCTCACATTTCCCTCCCCTTTTCCCCCTCACATTTTCCTTTTCCCTTCATATTTCCTGCCCTTTTCCCCTCATACTTCCCTTTACTCCCCTCATGTTTCTCGTCGTTTATCCCCTCACATTTCCCACCCTATTTCCCTCACATTTCCCCCTTTTTCCCCTCATGTTTCCTGCCCTTTTCCCCCTCACGTTTCCCTTTTCCTCCCTCACATTTCCCTCATTTCTCCCCTCACATTTCCCCCCTTTTTCCCGCACATTTCCCCCATTTTTTCCTTCACATTTCCAGTCCTTTTTTTCCCCTCACGGTTCCCGCCTTTTTTACCCCTCACATTTCCCCCTTTCCCCCTCACATTTTCTGTCACTTTTCCCTCTTTCTGCCATCCTTTTCTCTCTCACGTTTCCCACCCTTTCCCCCTCAAGTTTCCCTTTTCTCCCCTCACATTTCCCTCCTTTTTCCCCTCACATTTCCCCACTTTTCTCCCCTCATGTTTCCTGCCCTTTTCTCCCCTCACATTTCCCTCCGATTTTCCCATTTCTCCCACGATTTTCCCCATTTTCCCCTGTTTTTTCCCCAGATCGGAAGTTTTTTGCCTCCCATTTCCCACCAATTCTTCCTTCATGCCATTTTCCCCCTCACATTTCCCCCCTTTTTCCCTCACATTTCCCACCATTTTTCCTCTTCTGTTTTGTACCTTTTTTCCTGTGATTTCCCGTCCTTTTTGCTGAAGTTTACTGTCTTTTCTGCCTTCCATTTCCTGTTCTTTTTTCCCCTCACATTTCCCCCCTTTTCCCCTCACATTTCCCTCCCTTTTCCCCCCACATTTCTTCTCTTTTTCCTCTCACATTTCCCACATTTTTTTGCCCTCATATTCCTCACCGGTTCTTCCTTCATGCCATTTTTCCCCCTCACATTTCCCCCCTTTTCCCCTCACGTTTCCCTCCCTTTTCCCCCTCACATTTTCCGCCCTTTTTCCCCTCACATTTCCCTCCCCTTTTTCCCCCTCACATTTCCCTCCCTTTTTCCCTCATGTTTCCCTCCCTTTTCCCCCTCACATTTCCCCCATTTCCCCTTCACATTTCCCCCCTTTTCCCCTCACATTTCCCGCATTTTTCCCCTCACATTTCCCACATTTCTTGCTCTCACATTTCCCACCCTTTTTCCCCTCATATTTCCTGCATTTTTTCCCCTCACATTTCCCACCATTTTCCCCTCACATTTCCTGCATTTTTGCCCTCACATTTCCCACCCCTTTTCCCCTCACATTTCCCACCCTTTTTCCTCTCACATTTCCCACCAATTCTACCCTCCTGCCCTTTTCCCCCTCACATTTTCCACCCTTTTCCCCCTCAGGTTTTCCCCTCTTTCCTTTCTCACCTTTGCTGCCGTTTTGTTCCCTCAAGTTTTACACCTTTCTTTTTCTCATGTTTTTCACTTTTTTCCCCTTAATATTTCCCAATTATTTTTTCTTTGCATTTCTTGCCATTTTGTTGTCTCATTTCCCACCCATTTTCATCTCACGTTTCTTGCTCTTTGCCCCTCATGTTTGTCACCTTTTCTCCCCTCATGTTTCCCTTTTTTCCCCCTCACGTTTCCCGCCCTTTTCTCTCCTAATGTTTCCCAGCTTTTCCCCTCACATTTCCCCCTTTTTCCCTCACATTCCCCCCTTTTTTCCCTCACTTTTCCCCTTTCCCCCTCACTTTTCCCCTCACATGTCCCCCTTTTCTTCCCCTCACATTTCCCCCTTCCTTCCCCTCACATTTCCCCCTTCCTTCCCCTCACATTTCCCCCTTCCTTCCCCTCACATTTCCCCCTTCCTTCCCCTCACATTTCCCCCTTCCTTCCCCTCACATTTCCCCCTTTCTTCCCCTCACATTTCCCCCATTTTCCCTCACATTTCCCCCTTTTTTCCCTCACTTTTCCCCTTTCCCCCTCACTTTTCCCCTCACATGTCCCCCTTTTCTTCCCCTCATATTTCCCCCATTTTTCCCTCACATTTTCCCCTCACATTTCCCGCTTCTCTCCCCTCACATTTCCCCCATTTCCCCCTCACATTTCCCCCCCATTTTCCCCTCACATTTCCCAGCATTTCCCCTCACTTTTCCCCTCACATTTCCCAGCTTTTCCCCTCACTTTTCCCCTCACATTTCCCAGCTTTTCCCCTCACTTTTCCCCTCACATTTCCCCCCATTTTCCCCTCACATTCCTCCCCTTTCCCCTCTCACATTTCCCACATTTTCTCCCTTCACATTCCCCCCATTTTCCCCTCACATTCCCCCCATTTTCCCCTCTCACATTTCCTGCCGTTTTCCCTTCCTTTCCCCCCGTTTCCGTCACATCCCATTTGCCATCCACTCACCCCAAAACCTCCCGCCTTTGTCACCCCAGCCCTGTGTCACTGCCGCGTCCCCACGTCACCCTGACCCTGTAAACGTCACGACTGTGGTGTCCCCACATCCCCGAGGTGTCCCCAAGGCTGCACCACTCGGGGTCACCCCAAAGTGTCCCCTCACTTCCCTCCCTGTCCTTGAGAGGGTCACGGCCATGGTGTCCCCACATCCCCAAGCTGTCCCCAAGGTGTCCCCATGTCCCCAGGGTTACTGGGGCTCTTCAAGGGTCACCCCAAAGTGTCCCCTCAGTTCCCTCTCTGTCCTTGACGGGGGTCACGGTCACACTGTCCCCACATCCCCGAGGTGAGGTTTCCCCAAGGTGTCCCCGAGGTGTCCCCAAGGCGTCCCCATGTCCTCAGGGTTACTGGGGCTCTCCAAGGGTCACCCCAAAGTGTCCCTTCAGTTCCCTCTCTGTCCTTGACGGGGCTCGCGGTCACACTGTCCCCACATCCCCAAAGGGTCCCCAAGGTGTCCCCAAGGTGTCCGCATGTCCCCAGGGCTGTCGGGGCTCTTTGAGACGGGGCTGCACCACTCGGGGTCACCCCAAAGTGTCCCTTCAGTTCCCTCTCTGTCCTTGACGGGGCTCGCGGTCACACTGTCCCCACATCCCCAAAGGGTCCCCAAGGTGTCCCCAAGGTGTCCGCCTGTCCCCAGGGCTGTCGGGGCTCTTTGAGACGGGGCTGCACCACTCGGGGGGCCTGCAAAGTGTTCCCTCAGTTCCCTCCCTGTCCTTGGGGGGGTCACGGTCACACTGTCCCTACATCCCCGAGGTGTCCCCGAGCTGTCCCCGAGGTGTCCCCGAGCTGTCCCCGAGCTGTCCCCGGGGTGTCCCTGAGGTGTCCCGGAGCTGTCCCAGGGGTGGGATCACGGGGAGCTGTTCCCGAGCAGTCCCCGCGCTGTCATTGCTCTGTCCCCGAGCTGTGAACCCCCCGAGATGTCCCCGAGGTGTCCCTGAGCTGTCCCCGAGCTGTCCCCGCTCTGCCCCGAGCTGTGAAGTGTCCCCGAGCTGTCCCCGAGCTGTCCCCGTGTCCCCAGGGCTGTCGGGGCTCTTCGAGACGGGGCTGCACCACGCGGGGGGCGCGGCCCCCGACGCCTCGGTCATGAACCTGATCTCGGCGCTGGAGTCGCGGGGACCCCAGCCCGGACCCTCGGCCTCGTCCCTCCTGTCCCAGTTCCGCACGCCCTCCTGGCAGACTGGTGGGTCTGGGGGCTTCTCTTTTGGGGGGGGTCCCAGTTCCGCATGCCCTCCTGGCAGACTGGTGGGTCTGGGGGCTTCTCTTTTGGGGGGGGTCTTTAAGTTGCTTTGGGTTTGGGGAGGGTTTTCATTTTATTTTATTTGGGGGAGGGGGTCCTTATTTTGTCCTGCTGGGAGTTTGTTCTGCACTTGGGGGGTCCCAACTTACCCCAGGGTGTCCCCATTTACCCCAGGGTGTCCCCATTTACCCCAGAGTGTCCCCATTTACCCCAGAGTGTCCCCATTTACCCCAGGGGGTCCCCATTTACCCCAGGGGTGTCCCCATTTACCCCAGGGTGTCCCCATTTACCCCAGGGGTGTCCCCATTTGCCCCGGGGGGTCCCCATTTGCCCCGGAGGGTCCCCATTTACCCCGGAGGGTCCCCATTTACCCCAGGGGTGTCCCCATTTACCCCAGGGTGTCCCCATTTACCCCAGGGTGTCCCCATTTGCCCCGGGGGGGTCCCCATTTACAGCCATGCACACTCCAGCTCCGGCCGAGCTCTTCATCTCGGGCGCGCTGCCCGGCTCGGGCACCTTCCCGTCCTCGTCGGCGCTCGGCCCCTACCAGCACCCGGCGTCCTTCGGCGGCCGCAGCTTCCCGGTGGGGTCCCCGCTGAGCCTGCCCGAGGCCGCCTTCAGCCCCGGCTCCAACGGGCTGCTGTCCCCGCACGACCCGCTGCTGCACATCAAGCCCACGCAGCCCGCCGTGCCCTCCTCGCTGGGCTTCGAGCGCCTGGGCTCGGCCGTGCTGGGCTCGGCGCTGCCCGCCCAGACCCCTCCGTACCGGCCCGCTCCCAGTTCCTCCCAGTTCAACCTGCTGGCGGCCGCCGAGCAGCCCCCTCAGCTCTACAACGCGCCCGTTTTCGGCGGCGCCAACGCGGCGGGCGGCGGCGATCGCGCCATATCGCGACAGGACAGCGTCATCAAGCACTACCAGCGGCCGGGCGGGGCTCAGCCGCAGCTGCCGCCGGCGCCGGGGCTGCAGCACTACCTGAGCTGCGGCGGCTCCTACCAGCAGGTGCCCGCGCACCGCGCCCCGCTGTCCTGCAGCCCGCTGGGCGAGCAGTCGCCCGCCAGCTCCGAGGGCTCGCAGCAGCCGCCCAAGGCCGCTCCGCCGGCGCCGCGCCCCGAGCCGGGCTACCGGCCCATCATCCAGTCGCCGGGTTACTCCGGGGGCGCCGCG